ATATTTATAACTTTGATAAAACCATCAGTTAAAATAACTATTTATTGTACTACGGGGATTTATGAGGATAAACTCCCTTAGGCTCTTTTTGAAAGAATATATATGCGAGATATTCTTTATATTTTCTGGTATCGTATTGTACAGTTTTGGTGCGAAATACGAGTATGATCTTTGGGAAATAGTTTTGAGCATCAATGGTGTGACGTAATGATGTTTTTGATAAGTGTTATGATCATGATGTGGAAGCTGTGAATATTTTCTATTCACATGGTACTTATTGCCGACGCAAAAGAAATAGAGCTGTCCAGCTGTCTCAAATCTAGTATTTTAGAATCTTTGTAAAGGTCGTCGGTTGGGTATCTGAAATTCTTGGCAAATACTAACTTTAAAAATCGTCTTTGAGTAACTTCCAGAGAATGAATGTGCGATGGGATTTCAGACTTGCTCCCCATACAACAATTGATTCCACCAGAGAAAAATAAACAAACCTAGCTGCTGTTAAACCAAGTTCATTTGCGACCACTCTGACCGCATAACAACCAGAGGACACTTTGTTACTCAGGGCATAAATATGTTCTTCAAATTTAAGTTTTCTATCGATATGTACCCCTAAAAATTTTAAGCTATTTTTGTTCTCAATAATGTCATTTCCAATGGATATATTCTCAAGTTCAAATCTGAAAGCTACTATCTTAGTTTTCGAAATGTTTAGAGAAAGATAATTTGAATCACACCAACTCTTTACTTTCATCATATCGTTAGATATGATTACAGTTAAATCATTTGCATTGTCCGATTGCCAAAAAATGGTAGTATCGTCCGCAAATAGTGTGAATTTTCCCGAGATATTTATACTAGTCAAATCGTTAACGTAGATGAGGAACAATATTGGCCCCAGTATTGAACCTTGAGGCACACCTTTACGTAGATTCCCAATTCCTGAGCGATGGTTCGTTTCCACCATCTGGATACGACCCGATAAATAATAGCTGAACCAGCTCAGTATCACCACAGATTAACATAAGGTTTGTCAATCTGTGGTATCACTCCTCTGAAGCCGTAGTAAGGAAGCTTCCGCAGCAGTATCTCAGTCGAATGCCTTCGAAAAATCGCAAAATACTGCCGCAGCAACCTCGCCACTATTGATTCCAGTATAAACTTTTTCCATGAGAGAGAAGATTGCATCATTAGTCCCTTTGCCGTTTTGAAAGCCAAACTGTTCTTTCTTGACGATTTTATGTTTCGACAGAAATGCAGTTATTCTTATCTTGACTAATTTTTCTAAAGTGGGAATTATAGGGAAATAGGCCGATAAATCGAGGGGTCGTCCTGATTTCCATTACCAATGATACCTTCAGGAAATCAGGAAACTCTCCTGATTGGAATGATACATTAATAATGTTCGTTAAGATTTGTAACGTATTATGTGGGAGATTTTTCAAAATGTTTGCTGTAATGTCGTCATAACCAGATGACGACTTTTTTCCAATGGAAACTATCACCTGTTTCAGCTCATAAATATCAGTGTCATATAGAATGCAAGTTTCAGAAATACATGAGTTTTTAAATTGTTCCAAAGGGTCATTGAAAGTAGTCAATTTTTCAGCCAATCTTTCTGCAACAGAGCAGTAATATTCGTTAAGAATGTTTGGTGAAAGTGGAACTTCATGTACTTTATTAGATTTACCTCTTAGCTCATTTATCACTTACCAAGTCTCTTTCGATTTATTTTCAGCTTGCTCGAATCTATTTTTATAGTACTTTTCTTTTGCTTGCCTGACAACTTATGAATGATATGTAACTGTCAAAATGGACTGTTACAGCGTTACAGGTATGTCATGATCGCGTAATCGCCGTCGACAGCGGATGAAATAACTATCAAGAATTATAATTCAGGCTGTTTGTCCAAACTTTTTTTATGTACTATATGGCAGTAGGTAAAGTAAAGTACGTAGTGCGTGTTGTAAAGCAATTACGCATCATGGAATTACTTTTCCATTCGTGAGTAATATAATAATAATAATAATAATAAAGTTTATTTCGAAGTTCGCCAAATTAGTACATTATATGTAAAATTTCCAACAAAATGCGAACTGCAAAAGGGAGATGACAGGCAGTCGTAACTGATATCTAGTGCCATCCCCGTTTAGGTTCGTGATAGCAGCATCTTTTATTGTATAAAACCCAGAAACGGAATATCTTGAAAAAAGTTAACATCAAACCCAAGCATGACATGTAAATCATTGTAAAATATATGTATAAATATTAATTTAATAATAAATTCTTATATTCTTAATAATAAATTCTCAATAAATTCTTATAGGCGAATCTGAAACCGGACAACGACAGACGCTTCACAAGATTTTTGTACTCTTTCGATACGATTTATGTCCGTGTTATCAAGACACGGACCATACACTATATCACAGAAATTAAAATGACTTAATACAAGAGAATCTGTGAGTTTAAGTTTCAATGATTGAGAAATAATGTGTCTATGAGGATATAACAATTTTAAATTGGTATATGCCCTTTTTATACATTTACTAACATGCGATTTGAACCGCAGATCAGTGTCGAGTTCAAGCCCAAGATTTCTTGCAACATGAGTGCAAGGTAAATGATTTCCGTCAATTATAATGTCAATAACATCCTCAACTTTATTTTTATTTTTGCCGAATATAAGAACATTGGATTTCAGGGAGTTGATAGAGAGGAAATGCTTCTTGGAAATTTGTACAAGTTTTTCTAGTTCTTGGTTGATAACCAAATTAGCTAAATACAGATCAGAATAAAAAAAAGAATATTTTATTTGTGTGTCGTCAGCATAAATAAGATAAGCTTCAGTACGTTCTAAAACATTGACTATATTACATGTATACAGGGTGTAAATTTGAAAACTTTCAATGAGAATATCTCGCGAAATAAAAAAGTTAGAGAAACGCCGCTTGGCAAAAATGCTAAAGAGTTAAGGGGAACTAAAACCACCATATTTCAGTGAAGGGATGAGTCACCCTGTCACCGCAACACACCCCAACTTTGAAATGTCAAATGGCACTACCTCTTTTGTGATACCTCAAATGAACGGTCTCAGTCAGTAGTATTCACCTGTACAAGACTTTTTTTCCACCCACTACAGGGTGTACGAAAAACAATAATTCATGGGTCTAAATTTGAAAACTTTCAATGCGAATATCTCGCTAAATGAAACAGTTAGGAAAACGCCGTTTGGCACGAATGCTACAGAGTTAGGGAGAATTAGAACCACCATACTTCAGTAAAGGGATGAGTCACCCCGTCGGCGCGACACACTCCATCTTTGAAATGTCAAATGGCACTACCTCTTTTGTGATACCTCAAATGAACGGTCTCAGTCAGTAGCATTCACCTGTACAAGACTTATTTTCCACCTACTACAGGGTGAACGGAAAACATAAAGTCGAATAAAATAAAATGCAGAATGCCGATATATTCCAAGAGATGTGTTATTCCAAAATGTTAGAATAACATTTGAACATCGATTATACTATTGCTTACAACAGAATGGAATGCATTTTGAACATCTGATCAAATAAAATATCCTTTTAACACAATTCATTCCATTTTATTCGACTTTATATTTTTCGTACACCCTGTAGTGGGTGGAAAAAAAGTCTTGTACAGGTGAATACTACTGACTGAGACTGTTCATTTGAGGCATCACAAAAAAGGTAGTGCCATTTGACATTTCAAAGTTGGGGTGTGTCGCGCCGACGGGGTGACTCATCTCTTGACCGAAATATGGTGGTTCTAGTTCCCCTTAACTCTTTAGCATTTTTGCCAAACGGCGTTTTTCTAACTTTTTTCTTTCGCGAGATATTCGCATTGAAAGTTTTCAAATTTACACCCTGTATAATGAGAATAGCAATGGTCCCAAAATAGAACCTTGTGGTACACCACACTTTATAGGTTTCAAATTCGAATGCTTATCATTAGCCGCAACGAATTGTAATCTATCTGACAAATAACTTTTAATTATCACAATGGAACTCTCAGAGAATCCCACATAGTGTAAAATGGCAAATAAAATTTCATGGTTGATTGTATCAAACGCCTTGGAATAATCAATTAGAATGAGGGCTGAGTTTTTTCCATCATCTATATCTTTGAGAATGTCATCAGTTATGTCGAGTAATGCTGTTGTGCAGCTGAACCCGCTGCGAAACCCAGATTACCTCTTTGGTAATATATTAAAAGCATAAATATGTAAAGTAATTTGATGTTTCATGATTTTCTCTAAGACTTTCGATAGGGTAGATAATATTGAGATAGGACGTAGTTCATTGAGATTTTCGACATTTTTCTTTTTGGGAAGTGGAATTACGTTGGAAATTTTCCACAAAGAAGGAAATATACTAGCAGAAAGACATGTATTCATAATATGTGTGACGGCAGGTAAGATTTGAGGGCAGCATAATAAAAGCATTTCAATATTAATATGCTTCTTACAACACATATTACGTAATATACTATTAAACAATCTCATAACCCGCTGTGATTTTGTCATTATAACAGCGAACAAAATTTTACCCAAAGTTTTGGGTCGAAGAAAACTTGAAATTTATAATTCGAGCTCTGTTGTCTTCAAAAAATTCCACTCAAAAAACTGCCAGAAAAAATTACTCATCCTCCTCCATGCAACAAACAACATTCTCATCAGAATATCAACTTTACTTAGGTAGGTAGGCGTCAAGTATTCGGATACTGGTCTTTAAAACACTTGTTCTATTAAAACACTTGTTCTATTTCGAAATCCAGTGTGTTTTAAAGACCTAAATATCCACATACATATACTTATACTTTGATCTACTGTATTGATCAATCAATTTCGCACACAATCTGAAATATGGTGGATTTCATTGAGTAGGTACCTATTTATTTCAATTTATTTCGGAAAGAAATCACCTCCAGGGTTTGATTGAACTGATGTGTTCAAGTATACGTGTTTTTTTACATTTCAGTTGATCATTCTACCAATGGAAGTAATAATTTGAATGTGGGAAAACGTGAAACTAAAAAACATGATAACAAGCAGTACTTGGCACTGATTGAGAAGGTTGTGAAAAATTTCCAGGGTGAAAACGACACGTTTGTGGATGTTATGAAGAATATTTTAGATGTTACTGATTCAAAAGATGTGAAGACTAAGTGAGTAGGACCTATACTAATAAATAATCAGGTTGTCTATGGAAAAGGACTTTCTTAGAATGATTACCATTTAGATCTTTATGATCAGTCTTCCAACGTTTTGACATGCGAATATTCTTGTGAACAATGTGTTTCTCATTGTGCAGCCGGCAAAAACGTCTGTTTGATGAGTTAAACGAATAACGTTTTCATAAGTAATATCATGATGTTCTGAATATTCGAGATAATTCTGTCGCTCCGTTGTTCACGAAAGTGTGTTGCCGAGCAACACAGTTGAGTTTACAATGAAAGACAGAATTATCGGAAGATATTCAGAACAGAGTGACAGTTTGCTAGAATATTTCACGTTCACGAAGCATAAATAGTTATTTTTCTACAAACGTCAAAAAATGACAAGGTTCGCGCATTGATAACAAATTGCGAAGTGACACTTTTTTCAGTATCCTACGTTACCATGATACCTTGCACAAAACAATGCGCGAAATAAAACAGTGCGCGAAGTACCTACTTCGCGCATTGTTATGTAAAATATATGAGATATTTATATTTCAACTTTATGGTCCTCAATCGAGCAAACATCCACGAAATCATTTATTTCTGAATGTTCAACAATAACTTTGTTTTATCTTCTTCTCGACTATATTCAATGATTCTTGGGAGATGCACTCGCCGCTTGCACTTTCTTTGTAAAGAAGCAGGGATATTTATATATTTCTATTGATGATTTTAGGTTAATGAAATACGATTTCATCAACACTCTCTTAGTGAATTTGTCAGAATCCAGCTTCGAGGAAATAGCTGCCATAAAGGAAAAAGTTGCAGGTCAGTAAATATGCTTTTTTTAATTTTCACATGTACTGTGAACACTTTTCAAAACTGACGGAAGCTTTGAAACGTTCTACTTCACATAGGTTCCATGTGAGTGGGGCGAACACCTCCCCTCCACTGCGACCCCAGATGGGTCTATTGTGGCTTCTACTTCACGTAACTATTGTAGTACTATGAAACTAGACCTAAACCCAAACATCAAAAAAAAAGTTGCCTCCTGCGCCAAATTATTCCGTCTACTCCCCTTAGCACGTAGTAAAAAGTTACACCCCACCGAGCGTCGGGTTTGGGCGTTACCCCCTTTGGGTCGGGGAAGGGTGGAAAGTCGGAAATTTCATTTTTCCGCAGTTTTTTGCCTATATCTTGGAAACGTATGAGGTTTAGTGCAAAGGTCACGCTATACGAAAATTATGTACATTGAATCATAAAGGAAAACGTTATTTACAACTTTCTTGTTAAATGAACGGTTACGGAGATATGGAGGGGAAAAATTACATGATTTCCCAATTTAGCGAAGAGGTTTTAAAAAATTATAAGATCGTATTTTCGCATGCGTATTTGGAATGAACTCCTCTTCCGAGTCATATTGTAGCCGTCTGTGAATAGTCTAACGTTACCCGAAGTTACCAGTTGCGATTCTTTTATAAATTTATGCAGAGGGGAAAATAATTCAAATATTCAATGTTCTAAATAATATCAATTAGTAGTACTTCGAGAATCCTGAAATGAAATTTTCATGAATAAATTTAGTTTGGGTCGCAGTTTCGGCACCAATAATATATTCCTGATTTCTATCTATCATATCTGCATGAAAATACTAGTTTAAAATGTAACATATTATATTCTTCCATTTTATATTAACTTCGGGATACTTCAAGTGATAAGAAATTATAATTTTGTCAATTAATTTTTCAAAGGTATAAGTACATACTAGTAGTTGTAGAGAAAGGGGAGGCGGTCGCCTAGCAAGTAGGCCCCTGTGAGCCTTTTTTGCCGACCCCTGCTGCACACGTCATGTGCACATAATATCTAATTTCTTCTCCTAATTATCCTTTTCGAACCTCCGTGGATTTCTGATAAAGGTCAGTATGTCCGTTCACCTTAGTAATCCTGTTGAAGCGTATCAGTACGTTACCACCGATACAACAAGGCCTGCATGCTTCGTGGGTGACGTCACTTAGTGAGGCCTAACCATCCCCAGCAAACATTTTGATATGGGGCATCAATGGCCTGATATATTTTTCCCATACCTGACATCAGCGGCCTAGTAAATGGTCCCATATGCGGGACTCTATATATCAGTACACTGCGGCCGGCAGCTGGTCCCAGTGCTGGGTTCCCAGCAGACATATTCAGTTCCCCGGCAAAAGGCCAGTACAACATAATCGACACATTGAATTTCCCATAGCAAGCCCAGCATATACATAAATGATGGGACTGTAATGGCCAATTAACGACATTGGTTACATACTATCGAGGTAGGGGAGGGGTAGGGGTTTTAGGGGTCCATTGAATCTGAAAGTTCTAGTACTTATTTATTTCACAATATAACCCTCTGATCATATCAGATTTCAAGAAAACAATTTTATGAATGACACAATGATATCTTCCTAACCTCTCTGTTCTTCAACGATGTGACTGCTTAGTGGTTGGTATGTGGTATGGTATCTACATCTTATTGGGTAGCATTCCTTCGAAGTCGATTCTTCGTTATGAGGTACTTCTGAAATATCAAATGCATCATTTGTTCATTTAGTGGCCTATGAGTTGCATGAGTTTATAACTTGATAATATAGTCTGATGACGTGATAATATGGAGCTTTCCAATTCTCATAATTTCCTTGGCACAGGTATTTCTGTAGCTGGAATTTTATTGTTATTTAGTATAGAGATATATAGGTTCACATAACCTGGAATTACTTTTGATAGCAACAAACGAGTTAAAAATGATAGATGCTTTTGGATAAGTATAGCCCACTCCAATTAATATGATCATTAGGTGTATGAAGTTACGAGATACCAAACACATGCATTTAATGATGAAATTCTAAACACTATGTCGGTAGATTGATACTTACACAATATTATTATAATGGAAGAATCTGTCTTCTATCATTATCAATTGAGAATCTTACTGCCATCATAAATAACCACCAGGGAAAGAGAGGACCACATTAATTCGACATAAAAAAACCAGTAGGTACGCGATCACCACTCACGAGAGTCAGCCATCTTAGTCACATTTAATATTGATCAGCTGATTGTTGATGTAGACGTTCCCAGAACTACCACCAGGGGGACGAGTAGCGAACATGAAATTGGCCAGCAAAGGGCCAGATCTCGTAATTATTCAATTAGTTCCAGACATCTTACCATCACAAGGCCATCATCGTATTTTTAACTGATGGTTACTTGGCATAGGAAAATCATCGGCCCATTACCAATACCCCGGCATCGTCACTTTCCCAGACTAGCCTGCACTAGGCCGGACTTCTCCCGCTAGTTCAATGTTTGCTGGGTCGGCTCGAAACGACAAGCGCTTATAGCGCTATAAGGCGACCGCGTATTTCGATTTTAGTTTTAGATCATCATTGTTACAATTACCTATATTTATCTTGGAGAATTCCTATTACCTGAAAAAATAACCAGTGAGTGTTTTCAATTTTCTGTTGTTAGATTTTTCACCCAAGTGGATCGTTACACTTGAAACCGTAATTTTTAAGGGTAAAACTGCATTTATCATGCGATGGGTTTTTTTTTTGAAAATTTTTTTCGGTACTCACGTATTTTTGTCTGATAAACCGAATTTTATGATGAAAATGTGAACAAACCACTATTTATTGAGATATTTCAAGAAAAAGTTCGAAATTTCGCCTTCTTTCTCCCCTTGTGTTGGGGGCATTTGAAGCTACTTGCTCTCATTTTGTTATTGGACACTTTATATACTCATGATGTACTTCGATGGCACATTTTTATAAAGAAAATTCAACAGGAAATATGATTTTTATGGCGAGTTTTTCATATTTAGTGAACAAGCATTCCAGATGACGACCATTTAATCAATAGTCAATCAAAATACGAGATGTCAAATGTCAATAGATTGCTTTCGAATGACATTACACACGCCATTATTTTGAATGATATTCTTCCTTCTTTTCACTAAATATGGATTAATCTCAAGAAAATCATATTTATAGTTGAATTATATATAAATTGTCCAATATGATGAAAAAAGAAGGGAAATTTGTTCTGAATGCCATCCAGAAGACAGGTGAAAAAGAAGGTGAAATTTGGAACTTTTTAGTCAAATATCTTCATGATAAATATCATGATAAATGCAGTTTTACCTTTTTAAGTAGAGTGTTTCTGGTTCATGTTAATATGATAGTTGCAATTTGATCATTGGAATGAATTCTGCATTCATTGCCACGAAGCAAATGACCGTTTTCAGAAAGAAATTTGAGAATGAGAATTAAAAATGCCCGTTTATTATGAACATTCAAGAAAATTTCCTCGAATTCAGAGATGATTTTGTTGACTATAATATACGAATACAAAACTAACTGCACAATCAAAGCTTTTCTATTTTTCCTCTACTTATACTTTTTATGAGAGAGTAATTGTCTTCTATTATTAATTCATCATTATAAATTAAGCTCTGTTTACTACTGAATTTAGATGGAGTAAAATCCTCGCGGTGAATTGCATATCATATACCCACATTTTCGATAGCTCCTCGTCCAACGGGAAACTAAAAGCATGAACTTTTGAACCACCCACATAATTCCCCCGACAAAAGGGAACACAACACTTGAAAGGCATTGTTATTTCGCCGATCACAACACAAAATATTTCACAAAACAGTAATTTTTCCGCCAATTATTTTGATGAATAAACAACAAAAGAATTCGGGACCGTTTCAAAAACATACGTGAATCACCGATGAATTAACACGAACTGACGCCAAACTGACGAAAAACGCCATACAAAAATTTCCGATTTCATACGCTGGTGGGTACACACGAGAAAAAAATTTCCACTAAAATACATACCTTGCTATGGTAATTTGTCATAAAAACCCAATTTAACTGTATAAAAATCACTGGTGTGGAATTTTCGCGATGAAACAAGTTTTATCTGGCTTGTGATTGGTCAGATTATATTATTAGTGAAATAGTCGACTATATTTTTCTCTTATTCTGTATGCGATTTCTTCTAATTGGTTATCAGATTATTTTTATGAGATTGAAACGATACCATTCAAGACTGATTTTTCCTATTTTTTCAGCAATTTTGGTACCTGTGCATATGAAACATTTATATGTTGAAGATTCATCCATGCAGGTTCTACACCCATTAGGTGAGTAAAATAAACATCTTGAAAAAAGGTTAATATAGAGTGGCACGATGTAAATGCCTAGATTTCAAAAGGTCATTGCTTCCTTGGGCGATCCGAAAGATGGGGATGAGAGTTTCCACACGGTTTCAGTCGCTCAGAGTATAATCTCAGAGTTTTCCGTTATAGAGCGAGTTTTTGTATGTGCAGACTTATTTGTCGAACGCCTGCTCGATTGTCCGTGTGCAGCTTGCCTTCCGTTTATTTGAGATCTAAATCAAAAACCATCCGTTTCTAAAACTCTACTACTTAGTGGGTATGTATACCAAATGTGTGCACTTTACCTTAGGAAACTAACTACGTGACAACAAGATCTTACCACTACCTTGTACTATAATTTTGGAAATTGTGTGTCTTATTTATAGTTAATGTAAATATTGTCGTGTAGGTGTTTATAACGACCTTTTCAAAATATGCATACCCCTTGAGGGTACTTACTCCATAGACTTGATTTACTTACTCGCTCTGCTTTGAGGGGGTTGTTGTTATATTGTGGAACATAAAGAAATAAAAAGAGTGTTTAAAAAAGTAATAGAAACGTATTTATCGAATGAAATAATTATATTGGTACTTAAAATTTGGATATCAGAGGATCCATCTTCAATGGGCACAGGGAACTTTTCTTGCTCTACGCCCGACGTAGATTGACTTCGTATCTTTCATAATCAAACTACTCCAACCAATATTTCCCTCTCTGATTGTTTATTAATTTCTGTATCTCAGCAGTTTTAGAATCAATTTATTTTTCCTCCGATGGGCAGCAAATATTAATTTTGCTGACACATATCGATCAGCAAAGTATTACTTTACCTGCCTAAGCAGCAAAGTGGTTACTTTGCTGATTGATATGTATCAGCAAAATTGAATTCCATAAATCGTTTATAATTTCCTTCATATTCCATCCGAGACTTCTGCGGCAACAAATTCAACTCTATATTTTTTGCCACCTCCCTTATTAATGGAGGTGTAAGTATACTTCCAGGTCGCTATCACTGTCCATTATATAATAATTTAAATATACCGATATTTTTTCGCACAACTGTCAGAAATTTCATGAATTGTCAAACCAACAACTGCGATTTCTATCAAATTTTATTTTATTTGAACACTATACAGGAAGAATAAAGAGACTGTGGGAATTGTATTAATTCGCAAATACAATATTCTCCCATATCATTATGAAAAATCGAAGAAAAAATTATATGTTCAACTCGGCAGCGAAGTAGATTGACTGCCTTAGCTGGATTCCTAGCCTCGCTACGCTCGGCTATGAATTCAGCCACGGCAGTCAATCTACTACTTTGCTGCCTAGTTAAACAAATAACTATTCCGTTCAATCTGAGTTCATAGAGGTTATGGAAATATTAGTTGCAATAGGAAACTTAAGTTCCTGTCTAGGTGTGAGTGTCATGCAATACCACAGAATAATGAATTTTTTTTATTAGGATTGATTATGTTCGAATTTAGATAGATGAAAATTTGATTAGGATTTACTACATGACAATATAATAATGAAAGAATGCACAATAAAACACAAGACAAACACTGAATTTAACAGTTACATTAAAAAAAAAGTTTCATTTATAATGTAAAAAACTATATTATCATTCACCAAACGAGATTAAAGGCATATGTGACAATAAACAATTCAGAACAACCGTTAGAAATTTTCTGATAAAGAAAGCCTACTACTTCTATAGAAGAATTTTATTCAGAAAAATTTCAACATGTTTTTCTTAATTTCTTCGTTTGATAGTCTGAAAGTTGCTACTGACCTTCCTTATATCTCAAATGTTATGTATATGTATATATGTATATAAACTATTGTGACAATCGCAAATGTGTTTTTGTTTTAATTTATGAGTAATATATGTGAATATGGAAATGTTGTCTGTCATATTATGTTTGGCCTCTTGGACCCCACGAAAGGAAACTCCTATAATGTTCGTGGAACATCGTGCGTACCTATAAGGAGGATATAGGAAGAGGCCTTTCAAGCCAGTTCAACACTATTTTTTATATCAAGCTAAGCATATTACTACTTCAGGACCATGTTTTTGACGTTTGTAGAAAACATTCTTCTGCAACTCGTGTGCGTAATACTTTGGTCATCTCTAATTTCAATTTTTATTTTCATTTTAGGTGCAGGGGCTTCTGGAATAGTTTACCTAGGATTCCTTGAAAAACCCAAACGTAAAATCGTAGCTGTGAAGAAATCCATAAACAGATTTTACGATAAAATGATTGAAAATGAGGCATGGGTTATGTCTCAATTACAACATGAAAATATTGTCCAGATACTTGCTATCAAAAGAAACATGCCAGAAATAGCAATAGAGCTGATGGAATTTGGAAATTTTGTAGATGCAGCAGAGGTAGTTATCTCAATTTTTTAAACTCTATTTGAATAACTAGATATCATCATAACCACAGTCATAACTGAGAGATTTTTGATAGATAGAGTTGCACCAATGGGCGAGTGGACTAATAATTCATTTTTGCAACACTTCCCACGCTTTTTCCATGTTTATAATGAGTCTATGTGTTGTTCGAAATTGTTGAATTTCAGAGTTCATTTCAAACGAACCTTCATGGCCGCCATTTGGCGATAAGTCGAACAAATGATGACGTCAGTTTTTATGCTGTTTCGGTATAGGTCAGATAATCTTCCATCCATTTCCACTCATGAAGCAAAGTTGTCAGTCACCAATTATAATCAAGTTATCGAAAAGATGTTAGAGTCCTGTCGTTGAATAAAACATAATAGGAGGAACCCATGATGTTTTAGATCATTCTTGACTCTTTTGAGCAACCAGCATGTCCAAATCTTTCTTATTCTCCACAACACAATATCATGTGAATGTTGAAGACTTGGCAACATTGTGCTGAATGCTGAGAACTGACAAGATCACGCCCACAAGTCGTGCGCAGTGGTTGTCACGTTCACCGATTCAAATGCCCTCTACTGTGAATTAATATAATTATTATTTACACAAATGTATTGTAAGCAATAAGTCACAAATCATAAGGGAACATTTCGAGACAATTGATTTTGAATAATTTATGAATTATTGAAGTTCCCAGTCGTATTTTAACACATGGCAACTGTGCTATGATCTGCCCCTCCTTACCAAATCATGGCGTCAGTTTTTACTGGCGGTAAATTTCTAACCGTTTGAAAATTACCGTGGCATTATTGATGACTTTAGCAACTAAAAGTCGACCAAAAATCTCTTAAGAAATATGAAATTGAAAGGTATTTGAGTGATGGTTGTTTGAGAAAAAAAAAATGAGTCCACTCGCCTATTAAAAGTTTTGATACATTTATTGAAAGTGTTATTTAAAGGGATGTTCCTTCTTGTGGGCTCAATGCATATATTTCTTTAGTTCCTTCCTTCCTCAAAAAATATGAAAATGGAAAGAACCTTAGTGATGATTCTATTTAATAATAATAATAATAATAACATTTATTGATCCCAAGAAACATACAATGTTTATAGAGGGAAACAAAAAAAAAATTAAATCAAATATGCAATACAATGAAAGATAAACAGTTCAATCAGAATTAATTGATACAAGGAGAGAGTTAAATTGATAAAATATATTTCTTCAGTTCACACTTAAATTTTGTGACGAATATAATAGATTTTATTCTGTTGGGTAGACTCTTATAAATATTTATTCCACAAAAATACAATGATTTTTTCCCGAATTGGGTTTTTATTTTAACAGTTTTCAAATTTTCACTTTGTCTGGTGTGATGCTCATGGGTATCAGAATTGATTATTGAAAGTAAGATTCGAGTGCTTTTTCTTATTTTTTGAAGAGAGAGTCAATATCTAGTAGATCTCTTGGTTTGTATAGTCTAGATGTTGATTCCAGAAATGGTAGTTTATAAATACATTTTATGGCTTTATTTTGAAGAGATTTCAGAGGTTTCAAAACAGATTTTGCTGCAGTAACCCAGATCGATATCAGATACTGCAATTTAGAGTAAATCAAACTGAAATAAATTAATTTCAAGTATTTAAGAGGTATAAAAGACCTCAATTTGTATAATATACCAATGATGGGAGATATTTTTTTCCTGAGCAATTGAATATGCGATGACCAAGATAGAGTCTGGTCTATAGTTAAACCTAAGAGTTTGGAGTTTTTTGTCAGCAAGATCGAGACAGTACTATAACGACTATCAAAAATGAAACGCTGCTGTCGGGTCTACGTTATATTCTATATTGAAAAAATACTGAACAGGAGATTTAACTTATTAACTATCGCTATAATGATCTCATTGAAATGAAAGTTACAGAGTGCTCCTAGACCTAAATTAATAATCATCAATATTTAGAATAATATAGTAATATGAACAATAGAATCAAACACGTGTGCTATATACTGATGGGTCATCACAGTACTGTTTTGGCACAGCAGGCTTTATCAGCTGACAATAGGGACAAATTATCTGAATGGGTCTGGTGGAATTTCTCACTCATTCAAAATAAGGAGTACCACATTTTTTGACCTTTTGGCGTTGTTGAAGCCGTTGAGGGCACGAAGGGGAAGGTTGACGACGACAGAATGGGCTGACTAGGCTCTTCGAGTGTCTTCTGATTGGTTCAAGGCCAAAAGAGCTCTGAACAACTGTATATTTTCTCAAATAGAAAGAGCAAGTTGAGACTGGGCAGTGAGGTCTTGATGTATAGGGTTGCTATTAGGCCTATCCTATTGTTGCCTGAATAGCTTGGGGTCAAGTAACTAGGACTACTCTTACTAAGTTGCAAACTATTCAGAACAAAATAGCGAGAATGGTTACCGACTCTTCTTGGTATGTACGGAACGCACAAGTGGCTAGGGATCACTCCCCTCTATCAGACATCTCATTCGTGATAGAAATATCCACGTTTTTGAGAAGGCTGGCGCAGTTGATCATAGATGCAGTTAGTTATGACCCTGAAGATAATTCTAGGTTTGAAATTCCAAGGCCAAGGCTCTCCCTTCTAGTTGTCGTGTAACATTTAGGTTGTTCAATGAGAAATGTCTGCAGCACCTGTTGAATTCCTTTTTCTATCTTCGCCCCAATGTCACCAAAAATTAAGTTTAAAATTCAAAATTTTAATTCCAAAATTGTTGAACATTTTTCCACTTTATTCATATTATTATTATTTATTAAAACTATAGGGTACAGCTATTTTGAATTGCATCTCTTGCAAATTCGTTTTTGCTATATCCACATCAGTGACAGATCTGAGAATAAGAAGGGTTCTATTGAGCAAAAATACAGAAGCACGATTCTGATTGGAAATGATTGTCGAGACTTGTAAAGAACATTTTTTCCCATTGAAGCATCTATAGAAGAGTGAGAGGTCGCCGATATTCCTACGCGGTGTTCCAGTGATGTGTCTTAATGGAATCTACATCAATAATTTCAATTTGAAATATGACCATTGTGACCGAATTGTGGCCGATGAGGATGAGGAATACATTTTGCGATTTAGCCGCATCAAAAGGTTGGTAGAACTAATGTTGTTCATAAGTTCTACCTACCTTGAGCCGCACTAGGAATCACGCCATCTAACATTCATTATGTGAACCCCACGTCATCGTCTGAAATTCAATTGTTTATATCAAGAACCAGTCTGACGAAACAAATGAAGAGTGAGCGCACCAGAGTTTTATTTCATCAATGCCACCTCTGTTATAATTAACCCGAATTCAATGATGCGATATTCACAGGAATGGCACTACAATCTAGTTATCAATAACGACTTGTCATATGCTGTCATGGCGAGACTAGATTTGAATTAGAACTCAAAACAAGTACTATCATAGTGAGATAGATTAGATTAGATTTAGAATGGGACCTTCGGGCTATGTGCCTCCACACCGCGACCTTTTCAGATCTATCGTGTCTGACCTCAAAATCGAGTTCTTCGGCTAGCCCCGCCTTCTCTATGAGACTCCATAGGCTAGCTTTCAGATCCCCTGTGTATCTTTGGGCTCCTGGTTTTTCCTCACCTAGCGTAAGGAACCTTAGTCTTGACAAGCCCACACAGTGACAAAGTATGTGTACTGCTGTCTCCTCTTCTTCCTGACAGAACCTGCACAGCAGTTCTTCATTCAGACCTATCGTACTCAAGTGTTTGTTGAGCCTACAATGCCCTGTGGGAAGTCCCATTAGTATTCTAGTTGAACTTCGTTTCTGGCTCAGTAGATATTCTGTAAATGCTGGCGATGGTTTTTTAATAAACTCTTTTGCCTGTCTCATTCCTGGCGAGTTGTTCCACCATACTTGAGATTTGGTTTGCATCCATGATTTGATACTAGTCTTTTGTATAGCATTCGCAATACCACAGAAGGGTTCTAGGCCATTCAGAGCTTTGTTTGCTCCTGCTCGGGCAAGTGAGTCTGCCTCTTCATTGCCCTCGTACCCTGTATGTGCTGGTTCCCATGATAGAGTCAGTCTGTTCTGACTGCCCAGTTCATTTAGGGTTTCTATGCAGTCCCATACTAGTTTTGAGTTAACTTGCATAGAGTTGGCTGCTTTGATGGCCGGCTGGCTATCTGAATATATTGCAATGGTTTTGCCTTTAAAGTCTTGTCTTATCAATTCTTTCACGCAATGATGTATTGCAATAATTTCTGCCTGAAACACCGTCGCGTATTTACCTAAGCTCAGTGAGATTCTTGTCTTTGGCTTGGCCCCATAAATACCAGCTCCTGATCTCTCCTCAGTTTTGGATAGTGACATAGGTCCACATTTCAGTTTCACAGAATTATAATGATTGTAATATATTGCGAGTGGTGAAAAAAATTTAATATACACCACGGGGACCTTATACCCCTCGGCTGAAGCCTCGGGATATAATCTTGGTCCTTGGGTAATAATGATATTCTTTACTATATTGGTGTATAAATAACTATTTATCACAGACATGTTCTATAGTCAAAGATTTAGCATAGAACAATGTCCGCCCCACGTTCACTTGAAACACATAACATTAGTTACACACAATGACGGAGCAATTGAAAACAACATAGGTCCGCCTCAAATGAAATGACAGACTTATCTCATACCTCCAGACCTTGCCACATCGGAGTCATCGGACTCAAACATAATGGTGGATGGAGGTTACAAGATTGCTTGTAAAATTGTGATAATATACCTACATGAATTCCCTTTATAAAATATATATCTCGACTCTTTGGATTTTTCTTAGAGTTCTGTGCCATCTTCTATATCATCGTATTCCTTCAAAATTCAAACTTTTGATCAACAATATTTTTCAGAAAATAAAATTTTCGAAGGAGAACCTCGTTCAGATTTTCAAAGATATCGCCTCAGGCATGGAATATATCCACAGTAAAGACTTTCTTCACAGAGATTTGGCTGCCAGGAACGTATTCATCAATGGAAAAAAGAGATGTAAAATAGGGGATTTTGGCACTGGTGTCTATGTTGGAAATACGAAAGGGGTATTTCACGAAAAGGTGGGTACATTTCGATTGTAAAATATTTATTTTTCTACCCCTAGCCCTAGGCGGAGCAAAGTTCCGTTCCGTCAATGTTTCGAAAGAATGCCTTTAAAATTGTTTTGTGGATCGTGGATAAACGAGATGTGGTCAAGGCTATTTACAATCAGTCGCACATAACAGAGAAACATAAGTTTTCCTGAAAAAATATTTTTTGTGTCACTTATTAATGAAAAGTAACAAATTGTATTTTTTTTTTTTACTCAATTAAGTAAGCTGTGAAAAACAAGATTTCTGATCTTGTTGTCTAATGGGCTTATATCACAAAAAAAAATTATTTCATAATCCGATAGAACTCTCCCAAACTAGCTCACCACTGCAAACCGTTTCTTGCTGTGAGCTCCCTACGTTTTATAAAAAATTATTGAAATCCCCGATTTTTCGGACCTGTGAAAACGAGGCGATGATGTGACGTCAAAACCCTAATACTGAAACAAGACTATTCCAGACAGAGATGAATGATACATAATTTCTGACAGAGTGAATTAGCGCGAGATCACAGTTGAAAGAATTAATATATCAGTTGCCTCAGTCTCCGTCGGGCGTTTGGTATTTTCTTTTAACTATAGCGAGATGATGTTCTTACGTCATAAGAGGGTCCGTTTTCAGAAGGTACTATTATTTATGTCTGAAAATAAAACATTCCAGTTAATTTTTCGATCGAATTATGTCGTCAATCATCATTTATGTATAAAAGGATCATTATAAACATGGTTTGAGTTAAAAGTTCTACTAAGGTGTACACGCCCATTGTCACTGTTATGTGCGACTCATTGGATAAATCATATCTATACAGGGTCACACTGAAGTGCACCTGAAGTTTCTATTTGAATATGGACAACCAGTATTATTTTTTATATTCAAGTAGAACTCACTATTAAATACAATTTCAACAATACTGTATTTGATTTTTTCAAACGACTACGAAGATACGGAAAAAATTCAACAATTAAATCAAGAATGAACAATCACTAAATTTTATAAATACATCACGATTGAAATCGATTGAAAAAGTTCATTGTATACGTTGCGATCGATTTGTGTGCATAAATTTATAATTTTCTATTTCATTTCTTCTATATCAAACATTGGCGACTCATAAACCTGTTTTTTTTTAAATAACCTTACGATTGAAAATGTGGTGGTGTGAGGTCTGGCGACCGAAATGGCCAGTTGCTGTCACTATCGAGACTATAAGTATCCGATCGCCTCGTCTATACTTTTTGTTAGTATTGAATGTATTCGTTCAGGATCTCTCCTGGTAATTTTGCGGCAGCTTCCGTTCTTCGTTTATATTCCGAAAATATCGAGTATTACGTAAATATATCTTTGATATAAATATGCAGAATCATGTCTGATGCAAAATATGATCACTTATGAATAAATTATTTGAACACTACAAATATTCACTGTCAAGTTATTGTTATTATTATTATTATTTGATAAATATTTAGGTGCATATTTCATCCGCTTCCATAACCATATCTTCGTAGTCTATTGAAAAAAATGCAATCAAACCAAGTGTTGTTGAATTTGCAATAATGAGCTTTACTTGAATATAAAATAATATTTTGGGTATCTCTATAATCAAATAAGAATTTTCAAATGTATTTCGTTGTGACCCTATATTAATACAATTCATTCAATAGCATATTTCAAGTAAGCATCAACAAGTATACTAGGTATTTTAGATGGGTGAATGTGTATAGTTCAACCATTGTCGATCTAAATAAAAACCTAGTAGGCGATCTAGTACGCGAGAAGGTACAATATTGTCTGTTCATTCAATCAAAATATGTCTGTCTGTCAAGTGGCGCTGGGGAAGAGAATGTGGAAAGAGCTCATTTGTTTATGTCAAAATAGGCAATATTAGGTTTACATTCTCTTCTTCTATTTTTCTCCAATATATATTTGATACGAAAGCGATGTAAAAGAAGATTCTTTCATGGGAATTATTTTCTGACAGTTGTCATTAACTTATAACTTCATGAATTATATAGTAACTTATCAAAAATGAATATAGAAGGAAATAAGCAGCCCCTACCTTTCTGCTTGGTTCGCATGTCGAAAAAGTGTAAAACAGTAATGTATTTTTCATCACAGCACTGATGAGTTTCCGAGGTCTCCGCAGTTCTTACTTAAATGCAAGTTGCATCATAAATCATGCAAATACAACATTGCCTGAACATCTTCCTGCTTCCATTCAAGTATAGGTAGATGATTTTCATACTTGATAAATTATTTCGTGATAATGTTTTATCCTCGGGTTTCAACATGACAGATTTTTATTTACAAACTTGACAGGAACATGAAACATTCTTCGGTTAGGAATAAAAAATGAATAACTTAGTTTACTTAGTTCACGTAGATGTCTCTGAAATACAGCTTTTCTTCATTTTTCATTTTAATGAACAGACAATATTATAGCTCTTGCCTACTAACTACCTAACTAGGTTGTCATCTAGAACGACAATGGTTCAACGCTTGCACTAAATCTGTTTTTCAGACATATACTCCTGGCGGAGCCAACATATCACCAGAAACATTGATGACACAGTTGTTCACTGAGAAAACTGATGTTTGGGCTATGGGGGTACTAATTTTGGATGCTTTTCTTATATCATCTGAGGAATGCAGACTAAAGTTTTCCATGAGAGGCCTATTCATGCAAACTCTTCAAAGTGCTGAGGGGTGGTGAGTATTATGGAATTGATTCGATCACTTTAGATAACCTGAAGACATTTTTGTAACAAGATCGTTTGAAAATGATAATTTTCTAGCTTTGATAAACCTGGCCCCTGTCCTGCGACTATTTTCTTATACTGCAAAGAGCATTTGTTGAACTTAAATGCCAATAACCGTCCAAATTTCACTGCTATAAAAGGAACACTGCAGGAGATATTGGATCAAAAAAAGTATTAATTATTTTTATCTTAATATGAGGAAATTTTGATCTTATTTGTTTTTTATATGAATATTCTATATTTTATTTTAATTTATCATCAATGGCATATTTTTTTATGTTTTTCGATTTATCATTTGGAATGTCTGTATAATTCTATTCCACTTATATTGACAAACCACAAATTAATGTTCCTAAAATATTATTTCTATCAATAAGATATAAAAATGCTGATTTTATTTCAATAAATATACAATATCCTAATTTTTGTTTTTAGTTTTCACTCTTATTACACAAATTGTAGAATATAAACAGATTATTATATTTAAAGTTCTCTATTCAGCCAATGAAGGTTTGGAACATCTCTATCATATTCCGCCTGGACACCTCGACGCCGGGAGAGGTGTGCGTTACAAATGCTGGGCCGATAGTTGGTGTTATCTGGGTTGTTGCAAGTTGAAATCGCACACACTGTATATTCGTGGTAGCCAAAAACTACGGGAAAACATGTCTAACTTTCAATCTAAGCCAGGAGTTAGGATTTTTTTCCCGTAGTTTTCATGTCATCGCAACGTCAGACGATGACCTTGGCTATCGCGAATAGAAAAAATATGATTTGTATCCAACCTAACATTTCCATATTCCTTCATAGGTCGCGTGCACGATGACCGAGCCTGGGGGTGAAATATTGAAACACAACCTCACTTTTTTTACTTGTTTACAGATGAATCAAAGGATTGAAATAGTTTTTCACAATAATTTGGCATACGAATCGTGTCTTTTGCTCTATTCATTAATTCAAGCATGCCTTCTCATTGTGCTGTTGTACAATACACCAAAAATGCAGCGAGGGACGAGGGGATATAATTTTTCAGGTAAATAGTAATCTCACATAGTTTTCATTATGAAATTTTGTCATTTCTTATAAAAATTCCTTTTGCCACTTCTGAAGCTAATAGGTACTGCTAATAGATTGAAAATGTCTACAACACACGATCATATTTCGTCAGCATGTCAGACCAGTTCTCCTGTTTGATTTCATGAATCCAATCTTCTTGCATCCTTTTAGATATTTCACGAGTATTTCTATTAGCTCCTATTGCAGAAGGAATTCCGATGAGAAATCAGAGAAATTACCAAATTTCAAAATGAAAACTATGTGAGACACTATACTAGGAACTTACTTTCAAATCATTATTTACTAACCGGGTTCCTTCGTCTCCCACTGCATTTTTTGTGCATTGTACAACAGCACAATGTGATGGCATGTGCGAATTAATGAATAGCCGAAAAACACGATTCGTATGCCCATGTATGCCACAATAAATGTGAAAAACTCTTCAATCATTTGTAATCAAATAAGAAATATGAGGTTGTGTTTCAATGTTTAACCTCCAGGGTCGGTCATCTGACAGTTCTTGCACGCGACCCATTGAAATAACAGTGTCATCGCTCTTAGGGTTGGTACTTTGAAATAAATAGGCACGATAAAAGAACAATTATGCATAAAAAACTGTTCATACCATTTTGATTGACACACAGGTTTAACATATTAGGAGTACCTTTGATCGAAAAATTCATAGAACTTTTTCTGAGTACACCACTGAACAGATCTCCATGTTGTTTTCTATTCTCTCATTCAATACTTGACTTTCAGCCTACCTGAGAGATGTTGATATTCCTATTGGTTTGATTAATTGACCAATTTCAATTTGATGCATACCTCATACTGTTCAGAATTATTTAATTATTTTCGGTTCCTACTTAATGTTCATATGAAATCATCAATATCAATGATATTCTATATGTAGCACACATTTCTCCACGAATTCAAAAGACAGTGTTGCATGATAATAAGAAATAGATATTCAATTCCAACGCCCTGTAGCGGCTAATGAAATTTGAGGAGTCTATGGTATCATTTTGTTCACACCCTGTAGAAAAAAAGGGATCGGCTTTCAATGGAAAATGATGAATCAATTTGATATGAAAATAGGTGTATTTTGAATTAGATAATATGATTGTATAAAATCCATTTCACTGACATTTAGCTGTATATGTATATCATGAATAATTAATAAGCATGGTCCTTCATGAACATTTTTACGATTTTTTGAGTATGAAAATATACTAATAAAATTACCTATAAAATCGCAGTACTGAGATCTTCAACAATGAACATACTTGAACTCGAAACATTTCCTAAAATTTATCACACAGTTCTCTTCAGTTGTTCAGAAATCGCATCTAAAAAGTCTTGGGTGTTTAAGTACATGCCTTCTTTCACATTCGGTAGTCCGTGTATGGAAGCTGCCAAATCTTTAGTGAATTTTCCAGACTCTACAGTGTCGATACAAGCCTTTTCAAGTTGATTCGCAAAATTGATCAACTCTGGAGTGTTGTCGAGTTTTCCGCGATGGGCCAGTCCGCAAGACCACGCAAAGATTGAGGCGATGGGGTTTGTCGATGTTTGATGACCTTTTTGATGTTGGCTGCAAAAAAGTGTATCAATCAACATCAAATAGTAGACACACATACACATACAGTGTGTCCCACTTACCATGCTCACCATGGGTATCTTCTTAACGGTGAGAGATACGAGGTCGGTTAAATGACACCAAATGTGGAGTTTGTCAAGGCCAACTACAATGTGAAAAAATATTTTGATAAAATCTATTCGTTTTTGTTTTATACGCAAAAAACAGATTTTGATCATTTTCATGTCTCCTCCGTAACTTCTTTATTTATGAAAATATTCAAATAGGAATTTCACATTCGCATGGCAGTTTTTCAAAGTATTTCGAAAATAATATGAAATTTATACCAACTCTTCTAGGATTTGAGAAATCAGCACCAACTTTAGTTTTTCATATGTAGGTCATAGCTCACTATCACTCAGTTACAAATAACTTTTTTTCTCTTACAGATGATATATCGCAGTAATAGTTTTGTGTTCATAACAACGGAGTTATCGTCATTTATACAAGAACAAAAATTATTTGGAAGCCGCCATCTTGAATTTATAAATTTTAACAAAAAAATCATGATCTCCGACTTCAAAAACTCCCACTTACCAATTTTGAATGGAATCGGACCAAATCTTGTCCGCCATCTTGGAGCAGTCATTTTTTTTTAATTTCAACAAAAATTCCATAATGTATTGTCACCGAAATTATGAACACCTGCCAAATTTCAAGTTAATCGGAGTTATGGAATTTTTGTTGAAATTTTAAAAAATGGCTGCTCCAAGATGGCGGACAAGATTTGGTCCGATTCCATTCAAAATTGGTAAGTGGGGATTTTTGAGGTCGGAGATCATGATTTTTTTGTTAAAATTTATAAATTCAAGATGGCGGCTTCCAAATAATTTTTTGTTATTGTATGAATGACGATAGCTCCGTTGTTATCAACACAAAACTATTACTGCGACATATCATCTGTAAGAGAAAAAAAAGTTATTTGTAACTAAGTAATAGTGAGCTATGACCTACATTTGAAAAACTGAAGTTGGTGCTGATATCTCAAATTCTAGAAGAGTTGGTATAAATTTCATATTTTTTTCGAAATCACTTTGAAAAACTGCAATGAGAATGTGAAATTCCTATTTGAATATTTTCATAAATAAAGAAGTTACGGAGGAGACATGAAAATGATCAAAATCTGTTTTTTGCGTATAAAACAAAAACAAATAGATTTCATCAAAATATTTTTTCACATTATAGTTGGCCTTGACAAACTCCACATTTGGTGTCATTCAACCGACCTCGTATCTCTCACCGTTAAAAAGATACCCATGGTGAGCATGGTAAGTGGGACACACTGTATACCATACTCTTTCATAAAGGCTAGAGTAGCAATCACGCCGGGTGACAACCAAGAGTAGTAGCAACCTGTCATTTTTTATTAATAAAGTCACCATGGCAACTTTTTTTTCTTGACTATTCCACTCTTGGTCTCTAGAATCAATCAGAATCGGCATTTTCACGGTTTCATCTGTATTGTAGTGATATTTTTTTTGTTTACTAAATTTTATCGGACTTGCTCTACCAATATAGAATCCGAATAGAACCACACGTGACCGACCTTCGTCGTTTTTCAGCGATAAATCAACTACTACACGGAAAACGCTATTTGACGACGACGTGATTCATTTCGACATCGATAAAAAAAGATGCACTTTCTTTATCGCTGATAAATCAACTCCTACACGGAAAACGCTATTAAACGACGACGTGAGTCATTTTAACATCGAGTCATTTTGACATCGATAAAAAAAAGAAAACGCTATTTGACGACGACGTGAGTCATTTTGACATCGATAGAAAAGCATGTCATTGTACCTTCTGTATCGTTGATAAACTGCCTGCTCCTTTGATCTAGTAGCTATCCTGTCGTGTCAAGTTTGATTGATGGGTATGGTTCACGCGTAAATTAGCAAGATGAGCTGTTTTAGGAAAATTTCGTCTGAAGAAACCACGAAAATATGAGAAAATCAATTCCGCAAACTACCAGTTACACGGAATCATCAATAGAGGTAATCATTATTGTTGTTTATTTGTATGATGTCGTTGATTTATCTTGCCAAAAAACACTCGAACTTTTTTTTCAATTAGATACATTTTCTTCAGTGACGGCTCGTGCCCTCAGAACCTGGGTCGGCCAGCGTATAGATATTGCTCTAAAATGAGAACGTAACACATTGGGTCAGCGGCTTGAGTGGATTTCGATGGCAAATAAGCATGTACAGGGTGATTCACCATAATTGTCCCCCCCTCTAGCTCACTTATTTTTGACCTGATTTGAAAATTTGAAGGATGATCTAAAATGATTTCTCAGAATTTTTTTTCCCGTTGCATCAGGAAATACAGGGTGCTCGGAACAAATGATCTACAGAGTACTAATCGATTTTTCCAAATGGAACACCCTGTATTTCATTGTATTTTTAGATTCTTCCTGAAGAGCTGATTTCATCAATGCATCACACTTGGGGTCTAGCGAGAATGATAACAGAGATATAGGGTGTTCAAAATCGAGGTTTTTCAAGTTTAGGATTTTTTTGTCTCGAAACTATTCATTATTGGTCGAAACGGCTCCTATATTTCCATCTTAATTTTTGATTAACTGTCTATTGAGATTTGATTGGAACATTTCCAATTTTTAAATGTCAGTAGATAGTAAATCAAAAGTTGAGATATGGACATGAAAGCCGTTTTGACCGATGATGAATAGTTTCGTCTCAAAAAAATCCTAAAGTTGAAAAATCTCGATTTTGAACACCCTATATCTCTGTAATCATTCCCGATAGACCCCAAGTGTGATGCATTGAGCAAATCAGCTTTTCAGGGAGAATCTAAAAATACAATGAAAAATAGGGTGTTCCGTATAAAAAAATCAAATGGTACCCTGTAGATCGTTTGTTCTGAGCACCCTGTATTTTCTGATGTAGCGGAAAAAAACTCAATCAAAAATCATTCAAGATGATATTCTAATTTTGAAATCGGTTTAAAAATAACTGAGCTAGAGGGGGGGACATTTATGATGAATCACCCTGTACACATAACCAAAAAATTAAATTGTCCAGCAAGAACCACGAGGTTAGAGCATTCTCGCCAGGGGAAATGGGGAAAGGAAAAGGAGGTGGATAAGGGTTAGTTGGTATGAAAAAATAATAAGGAGAAAGTCGAAAAAATAAAAGGAAAGAAAATAAAAATAAAATAACTCGTGAACAAAAATTATTTATATTCTGTTGAAAACGTAACGTAAATTCAAAAAAATCAACATAACCGACAACCACCCACCTAACGCGAGAAGCACAACAATGACTAAATCGGTCTACGCCGTTCCTGTAACAAGCCACCCCACTCCTTCGTAGTCGGCTGGCCGAGCCCGCCGTTGCAGCCGTAGGTATAATCAGGAGTGTATAATAATCTCTGGTATAATGTTTCCCGCGATGGATGCATTTACGAGCTTTTTTACGATGTTTCAATACCTACTCAGCTCTTGGACTGCTGACATTTTTCTTGCCATATTACCTACATAGGCAGAGGCACAGTAGGTTACATTACAATATTCAAATTGAATTATAACTTATTGACGCTCAGAGGCACTGAAGGAAAATTCTGATACCAATATTAGATGGATATGTTGAATTATGTATCACTGAAAAATTGCAAATTCACAAATCACCAGTCATTTTTACTGCAACTACTGCAAGCGTGAACAAAAACATCGAATTTTTTTTTTCAGTTTGTACATTTCAAATTTCAACATCAACTTACAAATAAGTATAGGAATAAAAATTATAAATACCTAAAATGTGAAATGGAAATAGAATGTCAATCATGCCAATCCGTATATTAAAAATTAGATCGGAATGGTCGGATACTGTGCACAGCGAGCGCACTGCAAACTACTGATTACGTACGTACGGACGGCCAGCAGAGCTTGGCCGCACCCAAGGTATGACGCGTATCGTTCGCGTATACGCGAGAATTCAAACTTGAAGCGGGGAATCTGTAGGCGATGCGTCGAGACAAGAAACCACCGATCGGCCGGCCGTCTGCATCAGTGTAATGAGCTACGCGAGCGTTTCAACTTAAAGCGGCGTTTTGACGATGGGATTACCAGATGTCGTAGGTCCTGAATTAGTTCGTGATTTTCGGAGTATACGCGGATGGCATACTCAACGGTTCCAGTGAATGAAATTGAAATAATAGTGGCATAACAGTAGGATAATGAACGATGAATTATGAAAACAGTTTCGGAACATAATTGTATTCATCGAATAGTTCAGTAATTTTCCCCAAATTATTTCGTACGGCCCGGCGACCCTGCCGTCCCTGACGAGCCGTCACTGATTTTCTTACTGACTCAAACATTTTCCATCAGTTATTTCTCTCGAAAATAGACAAAATTGCTCGACCTACGGTCTCGCAATTTATTCATGTCAGTTTTTCTCATAAAACTACTGATCGGCAAATGTTTTTCCTTACCAAGAGAAATTCATCCGATAACAAAAAAGCTCTTGTGTTTTTACTGCTGATAAAATTTTGGAAGTTCAAATCATCATTTATGTTGGAAGCCAGAATGATGGATGCACTGTGCGCAACTCTCGCGTTTATTGTCTCAATCATGGAATACTCATACGAATACAACTCGTGATACTATTTTTACTAGAAATATTCGTCAATTGACATACCCCAGCTTGAGCCAGATCTAGGACAGACTCTTGCAGTGGGACTCTGTAACTTGTGTCGCATAGCGAAAGCGTAGCGAAAGCGAAACGAAGCGAAGTATACGACTTCGCTTTCCGGTACTCTATATGTAGTTCGTTATGCTTTCGCTATCGTCATACGATTTCATACGAAATAGAACGAAGTTGGTGGGGTTAAATTTGGCAACAGTGTTGCGGATCCCATTTATTCAAAGGAAACATCCCATTGGATCAAAAAAGCGGCATTTACGAATTATTGTATTGTTAATTTTTGGTTTCAATTAGAAATAAAGCACTTGGAGAAGTTTCTGAGAGAAAAGAAATTCAATAAAACATCAAAAACACATATGAAGATGATTTATTTCTATGAATTGGAATGAATATGTATTGACTACAAACAGATATTGACATCAAGGCCAACAAAAATAGTAATCAGCCAAACAAGAACTTATTCTGCACAGAGCAGCTAATTGGAAAATATGTACCTACTTTGTTCATAAAAAAAATTGGTATTTATATTCTCACTAGGTATATCTCAGGTATAGCTTTCTATTCATATGCAACTAGTAAAGGCAAATGATCTGAGAATAATAATAATATTGTAAGATATGTAACTGCTTATATTTATAATGGAGATGGACATATCATTCTATAATCTAACACTCAGTATATTATTATTTACATACTATAATGTAATACCTATCAGAACTTGCTTCTCTATGTTGCAAATTAAACAAGATGATGAGCACATATAATTCCTTGAATTGCCTTCTGCAAGGCAGCTATATGTTGACAGTGCATTTATACAGATGCACTTTTTCTTACAGTTCACTTTAGAATCTTGGATGGAATTATTAATGTATTGAAAATAGAATCCGTTCTTATTCTTGTTCAACATAGTAAATAATGTTCAGTTAATCCTGTTTCATGGAATTTACTCTTGATTCTCCCCTATTGGTACACAGTAATATTACACAGTTCTTCTTGGGTGTCTCCAAGGTTTTTGCTATCCAAATTATTTTCCCTTCCAATGCACTCATTATGCAAATTTTTCAAATTTGAACGTTCCAGGCTTTCTGTTATGTTTCACTGTTGTAGGTATCGGCATATTATATTAGTGGGATTCTTTAATTTACCTATTATTGTCTTCTTCAATGGACTCACACCAAAGACATATTTTTCTTAACAAGGATTCAGTGAGACAACATTCAGTAATGGCACATTTCATTTTTTGGAGAAGCTACTTATATCTGCCTGTTTTGATGTATCAGGAATCTAAAAGAGAAGGATAATTCGAATGAATATGAATTATTCCAGCCCTATTCAACAGCACCAATGACAGTTTTCAGTTTATTTTTCAACTACCAAATGAGCTGTATGTTTTCATCACACGTCTCACGTTATTTCATCCCCTACCTTAATCCTACCAAAGGGAACTTCCATCTCTCTGGAATATCTTTAGGATTTTGTTCGTAAAACTGAGGAATCTGTCCCACTGACTGAGTTGTGTTTTTGCTCGCTTTGTTATCCATGTTTGGGTTCATTCCTCATTTATTAATCTATTATTTTTCTCAAATCAACACAAAGTTCGAACTAGGAACAACAACAAAAACCTCAGACAAAAACCAATACCTATAACCTCAATCGTTGAGAATCGCAGAAAGCGACAACCAAAATCCTTCGCTTCTGCTTCGCTTACGAACTCACGTTCGGCGTCTCCGACCTCATCCGAATATTGATACAGAGTACCGAAACTGCAAAAGCAGTCGATTACGCATGCTTTCGCTTTCGCTTTGAGTTACAGAGTCCCACTGTTGGAGTACCAAAACGTACAGCACGAGGGTCAGTTAAAGACTGGATTCAGGCAAAACATAAGAGCTACTGGGAAAACATCCCAAGAAACAGACATGGGAAACAATACATTAAGGAACCAAGTCATAAACGAACTGTAGACCTGCTCAACTTGAACAGAGCACAGATAAAAACTGTTACGGGACTCATGACTGGCCACGCGCCAGTAAAGGAGCATCTCACCAGAATGGGACCGTACAATGGCGACCCAAGCTGCAGACTATGTGGCAAGGAACCAGAAACAGTAGCACATATACTGTGCCGATGTGAGGCATTGGACCGCAGAAGACAGAAGATCTTTGGGCAACCAGTTGGCGAACCAGAAATATTCAACTCACATCCAGTGAAGGATTTGTACAGACTTGTTAAGGTACATAGATAATGGAGTGGGCACAATAAAGAACATTACGTAAGATACAATGGGCCACCTTAGGCCTAAGTGTCGTCGGAGACATGGTCAGACGAGCCTACAAACGGGGTGGAGTTTTTAGTGGGTAAACCCTGGCTAGAGTCAGGGGAGTCCCACACTACCATATGGGGGATAGGACCCATATGGTGTCCATAAAGGATTTAAACCACCTCGACAAAAAAAAAATACCCCAGCTTGCTGCTTCAATTTTGCCCACGACATTGTTCCAAAACTTCTCGCCTACGGCTCGAAAGTTATGATAAACAATGTCATTCGGCGAAATTATTAGGTAACAAGCTGTCGTAACAATCGCCGAATATTTATGGCAAAATAGTCATCACTTGTGGTATTACATATGAAAAAATCTTGAAAATCGTTGAAATATCTAACAGAAAACAACAATTATTGGCAACAGTCTATGAAAATACATTAATTTCTCAAACTTTTTGACCTTGTATTGATTTTCATCATGAAATTTTCCCTGGCTCTCAATACAGAATAGTGAATTATATTAATTTATATCTGTTATGTAGAATTCTCAGAATTAGATATATTATTTTTCTATACATAATAGATATAATTCAATATGCTGTGGTATTAGCCAGGGAAGTATTTGTTTTCTATTTGACACAAATGAGACGATGACGTGACACTGGATAACAGATGACGAGTCGAAATGGATGTCATCAAATCACATTTTCTTTTTTTTTTTCGGCACCAAAGTTGTCAAAACTCACCGATAGTGTCTTGTCACAGTTCCGTGAGCAGCTTCGGACTCTATGGTTTTCCCATCGGGGCACATCAACACCGATTTCATCATGCCGAAGGAACCGTAGCCTTGATCGACAAATGACACTCATTTTGATAGTAACGGCTGCCAACAAATAGCACAGAATGTGCCTTCCAAGTGAAATATGAATGAAATTGCAAGAAAATGAAGACATGTCGCTCGTGGCAGATGTCGAGTTGAGATGTCACGAATCGTATTCTCTTTATTTTGTCACAAAAGTTGTCAAAACTCACCGGAAGTGTCTTGTGACAGTTGCGTGAGCAGCTTCCGACTCTATGGTTTTGCCATCGGGGCACATCAGCACCGATTTTATCATGCCGATGGAACTGTAGCCTGAGCGACGATTTAGGATTGGACTTCGCCGTCGTATTTTTGCAAGGCCACACGAAACCGCCAAAACGACAAATGACACGCATTTTGACAGTAACTGCTGCCAACAAAACGCACAGAATGTGCATTCCAAGTGAAATATAAATGAATTTGCGAGAAAAACGAAGACATGTCGCTCGTGGCAGATGTCGAGTTGAGATGTCACGAATCGTATTCTCTTCATTTCCTGTCACAAAAGTTGTCAAAACTCACCGATAGTGTCTTGTGACAGTTCCGTGAGCAGCTTCCGACTCTATGGTTTTCCCATCGGTGCACATCAACACAGATTTCATCATGCCGAGGGAACCGTAGCCTTGAACGACAATGTCGGATTGGACGTCGCCGTCTTAATTTTTGCAGGACCACACGAAACCGCCAAAACGACAAATGACACTCATTTTGACAGTAACTGCTGCCAACAAATTGCACAGACGGTGCCTTCCAAGTGAAATATGAATGACATTGCAAGAAAAACGAAGACATGTCGCTCGTGGCAGATGTCGAGTTGAGATGTCACAAATCATATTCTATTTATTTTCTGTCACAAAAGTTGTCAAAACTCACCGATAGTGTCTCGTGACAGTTCCGTGAGCAGCTTCCGACTCTATGGTTTTGCCATCGGGGCACATCAGCACCGATTTCATCATGCCGAGGGAACCGTAGCCTTGAGCGACGATGTCGGATTGGACGTCGCCATCGTAATTTTTGCAGGACCACACGAAACCGCCGGCGGATTTCAGCGCTTGAGCGACCATATCGTCGATCAAACGATGCTCGTACCAGATCTTCTTAGCCTCGAATTGCGGTTTGTATTCCCTGAAAATTGAACATGCATTATTCAGGGGCGGACTGGGTGGAAAAAAAACAAGAGGAATTTGTGAATCTAAGGGCACAATATCGAATAATTCAAAAAGAAAATGGCCTGATATTAATATACATATGTATGTTCAGTGTCTTTCAGAAAGTTTAAATCATATATGGGAAAAACTTTTTAAAATAATGTATTTTGACTGCGGCCAACTTGGGCGTTGTGTTTTGCATTGAAAGAGATAAAAAAATTGCCTACTCAGTAGGGGTAAGTCAAACTCAATTGAGTAACAGATGAAAAATCATTTTGAGTGGATTGGAATGCAATATTCCGAATGTTCTGATAAAAAACTTGATTTTTTAAAAATCGACGCCCGCACGCCTCTGATTCCTCTTGTTATGCATCACTAACCAATTTAATATGGTTACAACTTTAGTATGAAATGCCTAATCCTCAATTGAAAGCTTCCCTCATGAACTATTGGAGAATTACCCCTTTTCAACCCCTTTTTCACCCCCTGCACGCCTCTGCACTAATTACGATATGTCTAACTGGGTAGGTTACATCTAGGACATCTTGAGGAACATATTGAAAAAGGTCGCTTGCTTTCTTCACGAGAAAGCACGCGCCAGGAAAAATCAAACAGAACGCACCCGAGTACTGGTCTGGATAAAAGTCCAATATTTAATGTCAAATTCAATAAATGTGTGTGAAAATAAAAAAATATTCAAGGCCCGTCATCTCTTCGTTGGTAACCAGGCCGGATGATAACGAATTCATCGGATAAGGGAGGTATAAGAAAGTAAAACGAGCTCCATTATCTCTACGGCGGTACCCAGGCCGGATGACAACATATTTGTCGGATAATAGGAGTTCATACGATCGAATCTTACATAGGACTCGGCTTCTGGTTATGGTGATGGACAAGCGGTGTCCTAGTGGTCGAGCCGTGTGATAAATCAATTACATAACTAAGTATAATTCGTGAAAAAATCAATTACCTAACCTGGAGAAATTGTTACCGGAAGATGACCCATAAACTTGAAACTTGATATGTTCAACATACCACTAATCTCTAGCAACCCCATCTTCAAAATTTTAAATGGAACTCCCCGAGCCATTTCACTGTTAATACATTGGAGCATCTTTTCTAGGAACTGATTGAAATTTGAGAAGCATCATTGACTATAAATACATGTTAAGTTGACTAACAACGATATTTGCACACTAATTTTTGACAGAAATGCCCACCGGTGATGAATTTTTCATCTCCTACACAACCACATTTCTTCCTGTACTGTGTTAATGAGTTTACCAATTAGAAACAGTCTCAAACTGAGAAAGACTTGAATAAACAAGGACCTCCGCAGAAATTTGTTGTTAATAATCAGTATTCTTCCATAATTCACTGACGCAACACCTCAGACAAATAAACAATATATTGTATTTTGTAAATGTGAAAAACTTCAACAAGTGATGATTCCCATAAAATTCTCAATAACACATGTTTCGCTTTTCCAAGTGGAATGTTCAATAAATTACAATTGTAATGCAGTAACATCTTATAAAGAAAGGGATTTCATGATAAAATTGTAATTATCAGAATCTTACTTTTCGTATATTTCTTGGAATATGTCTTTGAACCTGCCATCGTATTTCTTCAAGATAGTGTTCTTTGTTGATAAATACAACGGCCAGCCCTTCTGAAGGGCCACTTGGAAAGACGAGTGGGCAAATGACCGGATGCTCTCATCAGTATTGTACATCGCAAGGGCAACTCCACCTGCTTTGTACTGGAAAACTAGAATTTTCTTGACTTCTCCGTCATCGGCTGTATACACCATTTCTACCTAGAAGGGAATCAAGAAAACTTTCATATTTCATCACATATTTACAGAAAATTAGGTTTCCTAACGTGTTACATTCTATGTTTTCTTTCAATTTCGATAAATCAACTCCTCCACAGAAAATGCTATTTGACGATGACGTGAATCATATTGACATCGATAAAAAAGCTGCATCATTTTTTATCGAAAATTTCGCCACATTTCGTGACATAAGACAAAATTGCTCGACCTATGGTCTCGCAATTTTTTCATGTCAGTTTTTCTTGTAAAATTGATGATCGGCAAATGTTTTTCGTTAGCAAGAGAAACTTGTCCGATATGTGTTTTTACTGAAGATCAAAAGAGTTATTTAAAACGATGAAATGAATGGATTCATGAATTGTGATAAAAAAAACATGTTTGTCGACTTCGCGATTCTCATTTTCTGGTGAAATGAACATCAGTTGACCAGGTGTAAAATATTTCAATCTATACAACTGGTTATGAGAAGTAGGCAAATCTCTATACATTTCAAAATTAGGAACGGCTATAACGCAAAATTGCTCTCATTTTAATATGTTCGCCTACGCAAACTTCATTTTTGTGAGAAATGACTTATCATTTCGTGCTCATCAAACGAGATACCATTGTCATTGCTTACTCAAAATTTTACAGTTGAAGGCAATTGTGAATTCAGTAATAATGACAATGCTATTGAGTAATATTGTGAGATCCTATTGTCTTACCAAATTCAAATAGGTAGGTATTTGTTATTCTAAACCTTAACACAAATAGACTGCTTGTGAAATATACGCACATTGAAGAAACTCATCTTATTGGTTTTCATAGTTTCAATCGCCTTCGTACAAACACAAACATAGAAAATTATAACTCATTGTGATAGTGGAAAATAAATTGATAGTTTGCACAAAGTGAGCATTCGTTATCTCCACACATACCCTTCAAAATAAAGTACAGACCAATCAGAACCATCGAACATGCAAACTTGGTTGCCGGCTATCAATCATCAATATTCTTCTATTACTATATCATGATATTAAATTAATAATCTGAAATAACATTCATTGAAGAGGAATATTCTCAGATATATTAGGAACATGAAAAAAAAATGGATACATATTGTTGTTGTAAAAATTGATCTAAAATTGTTCTATCCGTCATTCGGTTGCCCCCTTACGAGCAACCCTCAGAAGTCTCCGAGAGTCTTGTGCGAGCAAGGAATGACGGGGGCCTTACCTTTTAACGTGTGATCCCAAACACTTTCTTGGGCCATCAGAAAAATTTCTGCAGTCGACGGGAATCGAACCCACGACCGGCAAGCGAATGCGGATTAGAATATAGACACTCTGTCCGCACGGCTACCTGGCCCCCCATATAAAGAAATACATTGAGAATTTGCATTCTCCTTCTGATAAAAAATATTAATTCTTTTTGAAATTTTTGACAGGGTAATTAACCACATAATATTGTTCTTCGTGGTTCAAACTCGCATATGTGAATTTTTAAATGATTCCTATCGCTTTCAAATCACGATTTCCAACCTACCTGAGCTATTCAAGGTTCCAAAATTTGCAGTTAATTTGAATTAACTTTCCTTACGAGGCTGAAAAGCTAAAAAATTAAGCCAACAGTAAAATAAGACCAATTATGTGTTATAGCTGTAGAAAATATGTCTTATGTCCCTTGGTATATAGTAACTATTATCGCTGATGAATTCAATAATTGTGTGTATCACCATATTTGTTGATAAAAATGTTCATATGAAACACTGACGTACCTTTCCAGGTTTTTCAATCACTAAATCTTGAGCTTTGTATTGATCACCATGGGCATGACGACCAATAACTATGGGGTTTGTCCATCCAGGTACTAATTTTGGAATGTTCTTACACAAAATTGGTTCTCTAAATACTGTGCCACCTAGTATATTCCTGATGGTGCCATTGGGCGAGAGCCACATTTTCTTCAATTTGAATTCTGAGAAAAATTAAATAGGTACATTCATTATTGATCTTTCTGTCTGGGATACAAGGTGAATTTTTCAAGTCTTTGATATGCTTCATGGATCAGATGGTGAATCAATCATGTCATCTAGGCGTGTGTACTTTTAGATTAAGCATAGATATGCTCGTAAATATGCCTAACTTATGTGATGAAATGAATAGTCCAATTACCTAATATTATGGAGAATATAGTTTACAAGATCTGAAAATTATTATATTTATTACCATAGAATGGTTTAACTACCAAGTTTCGATTTTATTCATTCAGACGTTTTCAAGAACTATATAGGTAGAACTCTTGATGAGTTTTTTACTTTTGAAACCATAGATTTCAGTCAGAATTCATTTTAAGACACACGTTGATTGAAACTGTTTATCTCAAATTAAAGTAAGGAATCTGAAATTGAAATATGTTGGTCTCATTCTGACAGTATTTAGAATTATAATGAATTATACACAGAGGCAATGGGGAAATGATGAACAGCCAGATATCAAATATGCATGGTTAACAATTAACAGGGTGGTTAAGTTGATATAACCGTGGAAAATGTCAACATAAAGTTATTTTTGTCATCAACATTTTACTAAGGTCATATTTGTCGATTGTCATATTTTGATGTTGAGATTTCACTATTGCTCTATGTACAATTCATAATGAATCAACCTTTACACAGAGCGACCCGAAATTGCATAAAATGATTTCAACTCCAGATTCTAGGAACAAAAATAGTTGAAAACATTTTGTACATCTATCAAATTTTTCATGTATAATTTGAAAATATAAACAATATTTAAAAATGTTGCTTAGGGGCTTGGGAAAGTTTGACCAGGAAATATAAAAATATAATTTCTATTTGATATTGATACTCTAGTTTATAGTTTCGGTAGCACTCACCATATTTAAGATAAATTGATTACGTGGTATTATCCCTACTATCCCAAATAATATTATGAATGTGAATGAAAGTCTGTTTGTCAGGCTTTCACGCGAAAACTACCCCATTCTTAGATGTATTAGGATACTTTTTATATTTTCTTATTGAGAAAGATGTTTTTTTCACTTTGGGTAAAAAAATATTTTGGCAGTCATGATTGTTGGACAGAAAATATCCCCACAATCAGATTTCATTTATTAGAATACGTCTTTTGGGACTCGTGAGTCTTGGATCATTTAGATGATGAAATGAGAATGACAAACGCCTAACCTAACATCAGGTGGGCACTTCGAAGGCGCAAATTCATTACTGCATGGGAGAAACCCTTCAGATTTTTTTGCTATTCAGTGATTTGACCACGGATGACATTAGGCCTGTTCGTTTGTATTGCTTTCCTAGCTAAAGTTGATTTTTTTTCCATAGTTGTCTCTGTTCATGGCATAATGTAAACAGAGAAAGTCATGGAAAAAAATCAAGTTTTGCAGGCAGTGCAAACACAAACGAACAGGCCTAACGACATTTTGTCTTCTGCGCAACCAAAATGCACGAATTCAATACTACCTGAATTGGTCCAACTAGAGACAGGGCGCAAAAAATAATCCAGGCGGAAGCATGTTGTAGTGAAAAGTGAGATACATTTCAACTTTTGTTGTAGTAAATTATTTCAAAACAGAATGTTTACAACGGGAAACGCTAGTATCGTAGACGTCATAAATTATCTATAACATACAATAAATAGAATAGTTCATTAGGCCAACTTATAGGAATTCCAATTATATAGAATGTTGACTTGATTTAGATAATATTTGTTTGAATGTTAATTTCATCAAAGATCAGATCTTTCAGTATCATTATTTGGTATGACACAAGTTGGGGGTGGGGAAAATTCCATGTAGAACAGTTTGGTATATAAGATATCAACGTTGTTTTCATTATTTACATAATCGAAAAAATAGTGGTTTATATTCCCTACTTTTCCACATTTACAGAAATTAGACTCTTTGCATTCAATTCTGTGGGGATGATGTGGCAAAGTACAATCTAATTACGATATAATTATGGATGTGAATGATTTGCGGGAAACTGTCTAACAATATTTATATTGAACCATAATTTTCCTTATAATTTTGGTTGAATTTCTTTGTTTCACCTTCATCATCAGGTGAACAAGAAGGCACTTAAATAATCATCATGAATGATCATGAAAATGCAATTACCGTTACTTAATGATGAACAAAAGAGTGACGGTTGGCATTACTTCCAACCTTAGCAGCACCATCACTGCTGTGAGCTTGACAGATTAATTTTGTACATACTCAAAAAGGAATGAATTAATTAATCTGTTAGTAATCAACCTCAAAATAATAGGGTGATCAATTCGAGAAAAACTGTGGTCACTATACCTTCTACTCTTTGTTCATCTGGAGTTATAGTTGCACATTTGATTCCCACGTTGTGTTTTAAAATAGCATGAGCAGCATCTATGGTCACTTGATCATCAGTTTGGTCCCTAAATAACAAGCATTTTATCAAAAATACAGATAGATGAAATTTAACAGAAATATCGAGAAGTTTATATGAATATATGTTCCAACTCTCCCTCTCAGAACTGTCTGAGAAAATAAAACATCCCAGCCAACTATCGTGCGACATCAACATCAGTGTGATGTAACAACCTTACATAAATAGAATATCTCGTTGACACATCTAATCGACGTAGATTTGATATCTAAGTCACAAGGTTACATCACAACCAGAAAAATATGTAATGTGGCAGGGACATTCATCAAACTACATCCAATCGACATCAACTAAATAAATCACATTGATATCCAAATAAGACATATTTGCGCATATGTATGGCTATGCGTCATGGTTTACTTCAAGATTACTAATAAGGGTGATTGTCATAATAAGTTATGTATCATCTATTTTAACTCTCGAAAAATAAAGATTTTCTCCGTAAAGTTGAATAATAATTATATAATTATCTGCTATACCATGAATATCACCGGTACGGGCCACTAATCGATGTCGCAGTGTGACGTATTTGTAATATAAAATGTACACTTGTATGTATCTCATGTCCGACGTCACAGTGATGTTCCTTGAGTCAGACATTTTGACATCGCCACGTTGTATCAGTAACATGTTTGTGACTTCAAATGCGATATCGCAAGTCACAAAGTGATGTCGCATATGCAACATGGTTGGCTGGGCACTGTCATACCGGATTAATATACCAAAATACTTACCGATGTGGAAGTCCTAAATCGTAGTAAAGACATTCTAGTTTAACGTATGGAAAAATTAGAGATTCTTTGATCTTCTCCCAAATTATCCTAGTCATCTCATCACCATCCATCTCGACAACGGGTTTCTTTGCTTCCACCCTTTTGGTGGCATCTGGAAAACGATAACTAAATTGAAACATTAGATGATATAATTAGAAAAGTAGATGATTTACCCACTAACGATGAAAAATATGACGAATTTGATATTTTGAGTCCAAATCAAAATAAAAAAGCAGATCTGCTTGCGAGTTATGAACATAATTTTTCAGCGATCAAACACGGTATAAAAGTGTCAAATGTTTGAAATAAGTAATATTAGTGGAGGGGAAATGAACATCTAGAAACAGCGGGAATGATATCATTCAGAAATCATCAGCGATTGTTGAATTTATTTCTCAAATGGCACTATATGTGTTTATTTTTGTGTTCGACAGGTTGATTTTTGGATGAAATTAGTTGGAATAAAAAATGAATGCTCAGTTGAAAAGAAATAGATATTTTCCGAAATATTTTCAACATTTTGAGATGTATCATTGAATGTCGCAGTACCTTATCATCGAAATTAACGTCATTGTTTCATTTTCAGATATTTCGACGACGCATGTCATTTTATTGTGTGCTGTAATAGTAAATTATTCAACAAGAGTTGTAAAACGCACATAACGCACGAAGTGGAGAGAGTAACTCCACAAGTGCGTAATTGCTTTACAACTCAAAAAATGTACTATACTTTTTCTACGACTACACTATACTTTCTCAGGATAGTACAGATATTGTCAGTTTGAGCTTACTCCATGAAAAGGTAATAATTACAATTATTGTAGGTATTTGCTTATTTGTTTATTAATTGCATAACGAGCCATTTCCATGATTTTATTCCTGAAGTTTGCAGTCCATGAACTTTTTGCAAGCGATTTCGTATCTTTCACGAGACAATACCCATCTGTTTCCATGTTTGCTCTTTCTAGAATTTCTAGTGGTGTAGAAATAATCTCATCGTCATCGCTTGACATTTATTAACTCAAATTGAGAAATATCAACAGAACATTATAATTTCCAAAAAATATTACTCGCCTACTTTCGGTTTCGATTAATAACTTGATTGTGCGGGTATAGGGTGAATCACGAACGCTTGTAGAAAAACAAATTAAAAGTTCATACTGATACTGATGATAATAAGAAATTATTTTTTCGTCCGTGCATGGCAAGTGTGACGTCATGTTGCATTTTAAGTGTCTAGACGGGTGACCGCTCCCAATAAAGGACACTGTCCGCGAAGGCACTGTTGATGACCTGATGACCATGAAGAACTTGATTTTGGATTTGGATGGGATGTTTCAGCCGTAATCCAATCCCCTTTGAAACAATTCAGTCAACTCTGATAGTCAATCCACGAACTGCAGTTGTTGCAATAATCACATCAAGTATACAGGGTATGTCACGATGAGCTTACACTATCTGTGTTTCTAAGATCAATAAAATTATTATTATTATTATTATTTATCTCTATATCGAGAATCAGTCGGAAGGAATCCATGAAAATATGTATGCTTATATTTTAGACCACGCTTCTATTCTCTCTATTCTATCAAAAAGTAGCAACAACTTTGTTATTTCAAATAGAATACCCTGTATATTATTGCATTTCTAGATTCTCCCTGAAGATCTGATTTCATCGATCTATCACACTTGGGGTCTATCGAAAATGAGGTTTAAAATCGAGATTTTTCAACTTTAGGATTTGCTTGTGTCGAAACTATTTATTATCGGGCAAAACGGCTCACATGTCCCTATCTCAACTTTTGATTTACCTACTATTTACTGATGTTTAATCGGAACTACAGTCTGGTCCAGTCACCTTGCCTACTTCAGAAGTTATTCACATTTCAATAGGCCCACATTTCGTTAGACCCACATCCTGATACACTCACAGTTTGCGAACATCAGATCGAGAACAATATGTTTGGTACCGTAAAGCATCAGGGGTTACTTTGCATACATTTTGGTACATTTCTCATCATGATTTTTTTACTTATCAACATCATCATATTTTTTTGTTCTGTTGAAAGGAATTCACAAAAATTTGGCAACATTCTCAGATAAACTTATTATGCCCCATATATGCCCAAATACCACCCTCGATACCACCACAACATCAGGTTATCCCTACACACAGTGCCGGTTTTACCAGGGGTCATCAGTCATTATCTGGATATTTTTCCGGATATTTTGATTTTTTACGCAAAAGATTAGATCACTACACTACCTAAACTGAAATTTATGATAATGAGAAGAAAAAATACGGCAAAAAGTTCGAACCAGAGAGAAAAATGGCGGACACAATGTTTTATTTTAAGTTACAGATTTGAAATTTTTCGTAGGACGTCCACCTACAAATCCTGTTCAGAATCATTTGACTTTCTGTTCAAGATAGTGTCAGCAGAGAATGGAGATATGATCAAATTGGCAACTGAACTACAAAAATAGTATGTAGAGGATCTGGACAAATTTGTTTCTGACGAATGTTATTCATCTCATCAAAAACCGTATCTCCTTTTCCCGATATGAATATGTTTTCGAAATTTTTGAGCTAACAATTTTGTCTTGAATCAAACAAGATCTACTAAATGAAACTAATGTATAGAGCTTGTGAAGAATATCATATACATAAAGGCATTGAAGCAAGAAAACACATTTTTGTATTGTTACCTTATGTTCCTAGTTATATACTTGCCGATACTTGCCTATTATCATTTGATTTTCCTTTTTAATTTCAACATATACCTATTCATTCGTTATTCATTATGTGAACACTAAAGAATTATGTTTTTATTATATTTTTCATTTTGCGTAGAACTTCTACCCAGTCAACACACGGACATTCGATGGACATCCATTGGACGTCCATTTAGGATATTTGGGATATCCAGAGAATATCCAGTGATATCCGATGTATATCTTATGGACGTCCAATGGACGTGCCGAGTGGAAGGAGTTGGACTTCTATAGGATATCCTTCAGGGACATCCATAAGACATTTTTCAGGGATATCCATAAGATATTGTTCACAAATATCCATAAGACATTTTTCAGGGATATCCATAAGATATTGTTCACAAATATCCATGAGATATTTTTCAGGGATATTTACTAAATATCCTTAACAATATAGAACACCATGTATATTATTCCATAATGAATTAGGAACTATTATAACGAATTCAACGGTACCGGATTGGATAGGGTTATTTCAAACGATTACGAAGATATTTGCATTTGAAGTTTTCATATGCTCATTGAGGATATGGAAATGTGAATATCTTCCTAATCGTTTGTAGAAATCCTATCAAACACAGTATCGTTGAATTCGTTATGATAATCCTTAACCGATTATGGAATAAAATACAGGGTGTCCCGTTTGAAAATGCCATCCTCGGTTAAAGTGCCAGTTATGAAGCAAACATGTAGGTACATACAACACAAATAAATAGTTGATCTTTGTGACATTTATTTGAAAAGTACAACTACCAAGGACAGGTTTGGCATTTCCAGAAAAGAAGTTGCTCGTGATAGGAAAATTGAGAATATTCATTATGTTTCATATAACTGGTCTCTTCATTTTTTTCTTAAAACAGGGCATCTCATCTATAGGAATACTGATTGTATTAGTCCCTCTGTTGATTGCTTTTCGTGTCAACCAAGCATATTTATATCTCTGGAAGATCCCACATTCTTCCTGAAAACAATGATATAGAGTTGAGTTTCAGGAGTTTACCAATATCATTATTAGGGAGAGTTCTTCTTACCTGACACACACAGTGGACTGTAAACATAATGAGGCATAATACTTATTATACTTCAATGCAATCATTTGCATCCATTTGACCAGCCAAAACCAGGTGGCCCGCATTTATGAGCTCAGCTTCATTTTGGAGACACTGAATCACTGAAAAAGGATAGACAGATTGAAATGCACAGGCTAAATGGCCAAATCATAAGAATTCTTGTTCAATAATGATAAAAACTTACAGCTTATGTTGGTATAGGTTTTAGGTTCAACATTCCAACTAGAGGTAGGTAGGTGTTCTACTGTTAAACATCAGAGATATTATTGTCCTCAATCAAAACACAATGAACCACTGGAAAACACGGATTTAAAAAATACACAAATATCAAAGCTGAGAATGATTGAGAACTCAAAACGAAATTAACATAAACACACCTCTCAATAAACACCATCACCATCACCAAAAAATGTAAAATATAAACAATCAAATAGTACTGGCTTTCGCCGTTCTGGCTCTGGCGCTACGATCTCTCTTTCGTTTGACATGGCGGTATTTTCAAATCATCCCACCCGATTTATAAAATAACTTACTCTGAACAATCATTAACCTCTATGTATTACGGTGAAGTTATAAAAATTATGAAATTGAAAATATTCTATTAGCCTGAATCAATATGATCATACCTATATTTCTTATTAAAAGTTTAACGCATATTATGAGAATAGAACCATAACTAGGTGTGGAATTCAGGAATTCTGAGAGTGGAGAACGTTCAGATATGACACACTAAAAGTCATTATGATTAATACTTATTATAATATACCAAATATCATTATTGCTTATTTGTATTATTAAGATGTCTTTAAGACGTATTCAGGACGTGAGAATCAGATATCTTTAAAACGTATCTGAATGATATATGACATCTTGTAGACGTCTTATTCAGGGAGTAAGACGTACAGACTAGGATAGGATATAATTCAGACATCTTAAAGACGTCTTGTGCTATCTGGGTAAGATATCTTCTGATGGATATCCGCTATAAATCCATGGATGAATATCTCATGGATGTCCATCTGAAGACCACAAAAAAGTAAATATATGAGAGCTATTTTCGAGTGATTGTATATTTTTGTACGAGAACATTGAACAACAGAGAAAAATTCCAAACTGTGGTGTTGTTATTTATATGAATTCATATTTGCATCGGATATCTTAATTGTGGCTATAAACATATTATACCTACATAACAATAGTTATATGATGGAAAACTACCTTTGAATTTCTAATAAACATGTGATTTGCATGTGATATTTGTGATGAT